CTCCACGATGACATACGCTCGATGCATTTAATCCATCATTCGTGTATTGTGTGTTTATCGGGATGCAAGCAGGTAAGAATGTTTATGATGCACACTTCCATTATTTTGATGATGCCTTGTGATTACAAAACATGCACCACCGACTGAAACCTTCTGATTTTTAGGATTGTTAGCAACCGAAGCCAACGCAAGGCATTTCCAGCGAATGGAGAGGATTTCATTGCTCATGCCGAAAAGGGTAGGCTCTTTTCTGGCATTTATGGGTGGATGACACCCATTATTTTGGCATTATTTTGCATTGCTTATTTATCGTTGTAGAGGTACGTTACCGCGTSTACAATWGCTGTGATGATGACTTTGAAATCCGTGTTTCAAATGAGTTGATGATTCTTGATTTTTTTGAGCAGACTTACACCTATAGGCTGCTGTTTGCGTGTTTGATTGCATCCAAAACTGTTCGTTTGTCCAATAAATTATATTAAGCAAATATAAAGCACATCGAAAAGGGCGTGAAATAAGGCATCGTCACTATGTCTTGTATAGGGTTACAATTTTTATGCAAAACCAGAGATGTGTCGGAGTTTACTCATGATCAACTAGGGTTTGAAAACAGTCAACAGATTATTTGCTCATAACATCTTGAAATCGGCTCTGTTTGGCAATCTCGTTGTTTCTTTGTTTTGTTTGTGATTTTTCTGTATGTATAAGAATCTGTTTATTTCTTTAGCTAAAAACAAATAAAGGACATTATGGCTATAAATATGCCGTTTCTATTGCCAGTAGTCATCGCTTTATGATATCGAAGAACATTTTCTCTATTCTTGCATTCGTTTGCTTTTCTCTTACTACAGCATTTGTTGCTCCAGATTTAGTAAATTCTGGTGTTTACGTAGCAGATATCATCTTTTCTGTTTCAAATGGAACTTCCGTCCCATTTGTTATTTACTCAAAAACCGGCCTTTCTGTGAAAGTTGATGCCACTAATCCCATTTATCCCAACTCTAGTGTTTCTATAACTTGGGATCTCACCTATATTGATGGAGAAGAGGCTAAGATTAGTCTCACCAGCTTAAAAGATTCAACTCTTGATTACACTGTAATAAGTGTTCTAAATAATGGTGCTGCAACTGTTGAGTGATTTAGGGCTGCCGGACAATGATCCTGGATACTTCACTATCAGTGTCGCCAATCAATTTGGTTCTGGCATATCAGAAACTTTTACTATCCTTTCTAAAGACGACCTTAAGGTTGACCTCGACAAGGCAAGCTTAGCTCCTCGAACTGCTATTGCCATTACTTGGAAACCAATTAATACCCTGGGTCTCGCAAATATTTCCATCATTCGTCTTTCAACTAAAAAAGTTACCGAGATCGCAGTTAATATCGATGATAATGGCCCTTTCGAGTTGGCTGGTGATTACGCCCCCGGTGCGTATCAGGTCATTGTCAACTCTTCAATTGGCAGCGGTGTTTCCGAGATTTTTCAAGTTACGACAACATCACTTGAAGTCACAGCTGCTCCAAACAATATATCCTCTGCAGATCCCAAGACCACAGTATCCTGGACTCCACACGATGAATATCAAAAGGAAGTTATTCTTTACATCAAAAAAGGTGAAACAGAAGTTGATAAAATGGCTGTCGAAAACAGCGGCTCCTACTCACTTGATCTCACTACGATGGGCTTGTCTCCAGGCCTATATAGCGTTGGTATTAATTCGGATATTGGGGATGGATTCTCGAAGCTTTATATTTACAGCAATGCTGGCTTGGATGTTTCTTCTCCAAATGCCGCATCATCTATTTTCAACAACACGGAAGCAATGCGTGTTGAATGGGAATCATTCGATGAATCTGTTTCCGATGTTCAGATCACTCTGGTCAACAATAATACAGGTGAAAAAGTTGTGAAGATAGCTGAAAACACCGGATCTTATGATGTTAATATTGCCGAGTTGAATCTTGAAGTCGGAACTTACCATGCTATTGTAAGCTCAGACTTTGGTGCTGGCATATCGTCTCCATTCATCCTTCGCTATGCTGAACACCTCAAAATTAACTCTCCAAATGCGACGACCAATATTTCTCAAGCGGGTTCAATTCTATTTAACTGGCTTCCAACAAATCTAGCAGGCGGAAATGTCTCCATAAAGATCTATCAGCCTTCAAACAAAGATATTGTTTATGGTCCGTTCAGCACTGCTGATGATGGAAATGCAGAATTGAACCTTGCAGACAAGGTCATTAACAAAAATCTTGCTTTAGATAATAACCTTCCTTTTGTTGGAAGCCAGTAAAATAGAATT